CATCCGCCAGTCGACCTCGATGAATTTGCGGAGGGATTGGAAGGCCAAGGTTTCAAGGTCGACAAGATCGATCTTAACAGCAAGGCGAAAGTGCTTAAGATGAAATTGGAAAAGGCGGAGGCGGAGAGTATGATAGACTCGGTAAAGGGTAATGAGAAAAAATTCCGTCAAAAGAGGACCATCTGCCTGAAATGCGGAGGAGGAGGAGGATATAAAGGAGGATATGGTGGGTATCCGAGCGGGGGTGGTGGTCAATGTTCTAGATGTGGAGGAGGTTATGGTGGTAAGTTATTGGTGGAAAGTAAATTATTGTTTTAACCGCGAAAGAGAAAGATATAACTAATTGATAAATACTTATACTAACGTTAATAAATTAAATATGCCCGGAACTGTCGTATACCTACTGTTTTTTTTTTCATCACAGATTTTTGATTACTTTGAAATTGACTTTTTTCTAAATAAAAATGCCATTGCACTTGTTAATAAAATAACTGCACAGATGACTATAGATATAAGACTAAAATATACCAAAACTGTTTTTTTAATACATTTGGATTTTTGCTATGTAGAACAATAACTATTTTATATATCAGTAAATAGTTATTTAAGATTTGCGTCAAAATATTGCATTAATTATTGCAAAAATAATCAACTTATTATATTTCTAAGAATAGTATATTTCTAAGAATTGAAACATGTTTGATCGATTTCCGTCTGCATTTTTTCTAGATGCAACAGTTATTCTCTTTAATTTTTACATGCATTATTTTGAATAAAAAGTAAGTTATCAAATAAGAAGTAAATTATTAATCGCATAATGCTCGTGCATCATGCTTTGAAGAAAGTTGTTTAAAAATAACGCTTGAACCCTAATAAGAATTTCAGGATACTTAATCGAGTGAATTGAAAGACGAGAGAAATTTAATTAACATTGCTTTTTCTAACTAATCGTAAATCATAATATTAAATAAATCCCTTACATATAAGAAAAATACTAATTATAATAAAATGTTAATTGACAATACCAAATGTTTTTTGCTCGCTTAGCTTCTTACAGCTGAGATTTGCCACTCATAATAGTATATTAATAAATATAACTAAAATATCAAATTTTCTAATTATATATTAATACTGGCTACTGCTAAACTCCAATCTAACGCGCTTAGGTCGGTTGTACAATCAGTCATATATCGTAGTCGGAACGTAGCCGATGGTCCAATGACAGAATTTCTTTTTCGAAAACGAATTTTCTTCATTAGATCATCGGTTACGTTCTGACTCCAACATACAACCCAGTAAGCAAGAAACACCAAGAAACTTTTTAACTACATTACAGCAACGTTTTAACATTAATGCAATGTATAGTTGAAATGTTTCTTGACGTTTTTTGCTTACTGGGAAGTGATTGTAGAACCGGTCTTAACATGGGCACGCTTTGTCTAGGGCATCGGGTAGCAGTGATACCAGTTGTTGTCGTACCTATTACAGGAGGAGGCCATCATGGAGGAGGCGGCTATCCTCACGGCGGGGGCGGCGGCTGTAACTCTTGCGGGTATTAATCCTATTTCTTAAACGCGATAAGAATTAATCGTAAAAACATATAATTATTAAGCATAAAAAATAAGCTGTATCATATATTTAAAAATGGCTATTTTCATGTTTAAATCATTCTTAGTTGTAAAATTGTCATTTATATTTTAACGTGAATTATATATTTCAAAAGACAAATTTTTCAAATATCCTGCAACTATATAGCCAATACTTGTACAGTCTTATATGATCGCTAAATGTTTTATCAAAACTTATTATTCTTAAATTATCTATATTAAAAATTTTGTACATCTTTAGCGGTGGCGGATACGGCGGAGGTAGTTATTCTCAATCCTCAGCGTCGGCCCAGGCTTCATCTGGAACCTGGTAAGGATTTTTTTGAGACGATTGTTTCATTATCAACAGCTTACATTTGCATCGACTAAAACGTAATTTCCTTTTTCAGGGGAAAAAAATGAGCAGAATAAATATTATGATCACGTAAACGTATTGCCATTAATGATTTATGCTGCCTTCATGTTTAATACACGTGTACAGTAAAAAAAAGCGGATTCTTCAAATACTATGAATCATCACAAATAAACATTACGAGTATGAACACAATATTTAAAAATAGCCTACTTAAAATATTGTAACGTATTTCCCCTTCACTCGTTTGTATAACAGACACTTGTACTGGCGCACGGCGCGGTGGCCACGAATAAATAACAAAACAGGTTTGGCTTTAACAAAAATCATGATTTCCTGCGTTATTCGGACGTAAACAACTTCTTAGAAATAATTACGAGGTTCGTGATTAGTTTTTCATAAATCTTCAGCGGAAAAAGCGCTGCGTGTTAACAAGACGGCGCTGCGTCCGCACTCCTCGCGTGGCTTTAATAGTCCATTAATTTCTACGCTTCTCGATAAAACTGCACTTATGGTAATAATCCATCATCACTATTATCTTTTTTTCGTTAACTTGCAAAATCCGCGAAACCGGAAAGTTTTCTCGGAGAAGACCTTCATGTCCCGAGGAATTCGCTAATTTCTTCTCCGTATTTATTTATGCAGTTAAATCTTTTACTATGATCACGTTAAAGCCTCAAAAATAGTCAAAAAAGATTATTTTATGAATGGAATTAGAATAAAACCCACAGAGAAGTATAAAAGTCGTAATAAATCATGTGAAAGAGATTATAATTCGACGACAAGCGATAAAGTTCATCATCCAAGTTCGTGAAGCGTAATGCATGCTCGAATTCGTTCCGCATTATATCACACGAAACCCGTTCCGCATTATCAAACCGTTGTAATTCACTGGTGCCCGCAACCGGCGGCGGCGCCATAATCTCGCCTAGCTCTTCTCTCGCGTAGCGTTCCGCGATCGGCGTCATAAGTAACTCACGCGCGTTTCTATCGGTGGGATTTAAACGCCATGGCACGGCCACAACCGGGCTCTCTATAAATACGACCGGTATGAAAGCGGCCGACACCGCAGCATCCGCGGAACAATTTCAGCGATGCGCCGGCCGGGGCCGACTGTCTGTAACAGCGAGTGGCAACAGTAATTATGGGCGCGAGTTGGATGAATGTAACGGTAAAGTCTTTCGATTCCTTTCTTTCATCTTTCCGGACAGGGAGAAGGAGGATACGCGGCGCGGAACGAATTACTCGCCGAAACGCGAAGCCGGATCGAAGCGCACGATCGGAAGCGGGCGCACACCATCGGACAGGCGTGTTCATCTCGCGCAATGCAGCCGGGCGCGCCCGCACTTCGAGCCGACGATCCGTTCGGCCAACCTTATCGGCATGATTAACTGCTGAAAATAAGAACACCGCGTCCAAAGCGCGAGGAGAGCAAATATAAGGAACGTAACTCGCTTCATGCCGACTAAAGTGGCCTTATTCGCTGGTCATTTGCTATATGCGTCAGCAAGTTTTTTTCCTATTAATTTCACGGTCGTAATTACAACAATTACGGATTGCGTCTCAAATTCTTTCGGAATTCCTTTATCTACACCTCACTTTACGACCAACTCCATTTTTCAAGACTCCATCTTCGAAGCTGCTATTATCAAAATTGAGGTCAGGAGATTCATCGGAAGAAAGATTTGACAAAGAGCAAAAAATGAGACATGAGGATATGTATAATTTGCCGATGTGTGTTAATATGTGCAATTCTACACGCATCTGTAAGTTGAAAATTATTTCAAAATTTCTTATAATTAAAAAAAATGCAATTTTCCTTAAAACAACAATCCGTTTAATTAGGTCTGTGCGAAACAGACCGAATCTGAATGGAATAGTACGATTAAAATTTTTTAAGTTCTTGCAAATTAAAAATTTGTTCGAAAATCCGACGTGTCCTTGGAAGTTCTGGACAATAATAAGTACAGATGGTTTTGTAAGAGCGACGGCACGCAACGGCCTGGAGAAAATGTGGGTCTACGGGTCGTCAAACACCCATTGACTCCGATCGATCGCGCCATCGGCATCGTAGGCAAGGACTCTTCTTCTACAATCGCGCGTATTTTCTGGTCGTTGACCGGCGAACTCCGTGGACTCTGCGACCACAAGTCGCTCTACACCGCGCCGCCAGGAAAAACTGGGCGAACCAGGGACAGATCGTAAAAACTTACTCGGACGAGTGAAGTAATTGTACGTTCGGCGGCCTCCCCCTCAACTTCTTTCTCGGGGCACTCCGAAAGTGCCAGAAATTCGCATGTGCGCGCCACTCACAATACACATCTTATTATTAAATAGCAGAGTACTTATTTCTGACACACACACACACATGTAACTTTGGCAATTTATGTCTTGTCTTGTTCATATACAACAACAAAATTAAATACAAATAATTAGTACATTATAAATTTTCTTTCTATATATTCTTTATTGCTTTCCTTATCGTTCATTAACGTTAGCATTGTCCGAACATTGTATTTTATACGTATTTAGTGATCATACGTTACAAATATTTAAAGTATATAAATAACTTACATACCGATCTTTTACTAGAAATATTTATTAAAAAATAAAAAAGTTAAATTCTTTTCAAAAGTAGCAAGTTGTAAACTTGGTAACCAGATCATCCTTTATAATAAAATTAGAATGCAGTTTGTATTAATAATTTATGCAGAGTTCCATCATTTATATCCGTTATATTAAAACGTCAAAGAATCATTTATAAATTATTATCATTAAAAATGATCGCGACAGGTTAATGATACTACTCTACCTACAAGTCAATATACTAGATAATCCCACGAGATTGATAAGGAAGTTATTCTAGCTAAAACCGGATTTGTGCGACTGAAACTAATTAACGGTTTCTACATCGTATCATGTCAATGAACGACAAGGTATTAAACGGTAGAAATAAAATGATCATAGATCATCAAGATTATAATCGAACTGTCGCCTAAAAATGCAGTGATACAATAATTATGAAATAACGTTCCTGCGAATCGAGCCACATATTATCATACACACAAGAATGTTGGCTTCATACGCATATGTTTCACGAAGATATTGTAAATTATCTGTCGACAAGGTTCGTCCAGTTTTTATCCCTCTCAATAGACTCGAGAATTAGAGAGCAAACACGCCCGACCATTTGAAACATTAATCACTGTCTGTTGTATAGCACGCGATCTAATTCACTATTTTATTATTTCACTTTTTGCGATGATAGCATATATCAGTGCTATCGGTAAATTAATGACGTTACCGTAGATTACGCCGAGCAAGTGAATGGGCCTACATTAGATACATGATACATTCGCCGTAGATGCGAGAGTAAGTTGTCTAATCTTACGAAATAAAAGGTTTCGTGTATCGTTATTAACCTTTGCGCTCATACGTTTGAATTATGGTCGACACGCTTCGTCGGATCTCCCTGTAGATATGTAATATTTAATCTAATTTCTGTGAGCTCATCTTGATGATCATATTTGAATATCCAGCGAAAAATAAATATCTCGCGCAAAAAAGTGAATTTTGTTCAAACGCAATTTATTTATTTAGCTTACATGTAAACAAAACATCTTTATATCCTTGTAATTTTATGGGTCTAGCTATTTTTTATATTTAATTATAAGAACGAACGATGAGAAAAATAAAAGTAATTCCACTTAATTAATATGAATTATATTCGCAATTATTTATTCGAGCCATTGGAACCTCCTAATAATTGTTATATGTCCTAAATTTAATTATTGTGGCTGAGTATTAATTACACAGTATGTAGTTTTATTTGGGTATAACTATATAGAGGCACGTCTGGATAAGATATGGGATATGTCAAGCGGCATATACTTCACTAACGAGAGCACTTGCGCAGCAGTCCCGGACCCTTAAGCGTGATCACCTGTTAGCATTCGCCTAACATCGGCAATAATCGTAATAACGATAAGATAGCAACTGGACGGGATGAAATATTATCGTTTCGTCGCGATGCGATCACCGAGTCCGCGCCTCGTTTTCTACAACTCAACGCCGCGTGCCTCAAGATCGTCGGCGATTAGAGCACACTATAGGCTTTAATTTAATCCTCCGGGAGTCTCAGGGGGTCGTAAAGGGAACCGGTTGCATACGATTGGAATTTGCATAGGAAAGTTCGCGGTACCACGGTACAAACGCACGAGTGACTTACTCGCGCGTTTTACTTTTTCGCCCGTTCGCGTCGCGACGGAACGTTTTTTTTTTCCATCGCGACTCGACAGTGTGTGAGACGCGGCCGCGTAACATTTTTCAAACGACGATTCCGTATCTAAACGGGAATTCCGTGCTAACCGATTGGCATGCAATAACCGCGTATTCGCCTACGCGTACGTGCCACTTTGTCGATATTACAAGTAGGATTGAGGCCATTGCGATTTTTGAAGATAAACGCATCTGGGAAAGCGAAAGAGCGAAGCTCGGCAGGAACATACTTAATCGGGTATACCGAAAACCAGTAAATCAGGCGATATAAGGTCGGAAAATCTGGAAGATATATAGAACCGGCGACCTTCGTCGATATTCCTAAACGGCCTAGATTACAATAGAGCCATCCTGCTTGGCAATTGCAATTGATCTAATCGCACCACGTTCGACATAACACGCATGAACCGCATGAGGATCAGGCGACGCGGACGGCACAAGCGCGACTGAAGACTAGCAATTATTTATTTATAAGTCGCTACTACGACAACGCGCCAGGAATTAATCCCGATTGCGATTGCATTTTAATCACGATACACTTCTGACTGTTGATGTGCTCTTCTGCTAACCGGTTGCAGCATCATCGCTTCGTAAGAACGCTTGTTACATACTGCTAGAAATCATACTTGATTATGACTTATGATTTTATGAAATTGCGCGTTTTGATTGCGATACATCTGTACGATAGGTTTAATCTGTAATTTATATAATAGGCTTTTACCAGTAATTTATTTATAACTGTATGATTGTACATCGCTCGTGCCTAAATGACAATATATTCTCTGCAATGTCAAATTCTTTCTCGAGAATTATGTCAAAATATTGTGTACTTTGCTGCAATTGAAAATATTATACAATTGCACATTCAAATTCTATAATCCGGAATCAAAGATATGTATCAGCGCGACCCCGTAAACCAGTATGCTATTTTATTAGACGAGATTGCACGCGCGCGTATCTATAGCGATACGTACACTTACGATACGCGCACTTACTTGTCTATATTCGTTAGTTACCTTCCCTTCAATTCGATCAAGCGGAAAAGGGGCGGCGATCAACTGTGATATACTATGATTGAGCGATTATTAACATGAAATGAAAACTGACACAGTTCCATTTTTTCCCATTGTATCATATCTTGTGAAAACTTTCAAAATAAATTAACTGAAACTGTATATTGAATATTATAATAAATTGCACAAGCCCGTATCTATTTTACCAAACTTTGTTAACACGGTATCTCGTCCTTGTTACTTTTCACAGTTACTTTTTTAATTGTCATTGCATCAATTATTATAACATCATATAGTAGAAAGAAATTATATATATATTTTATATATGTATTTCGTAATATGTTTAGATAAAAATTTAATAGTGTGTCAGACAAGCTTTTAGTGAGACAGGGGAACTATCATTCGCGGATTAATTTATACGAACGGTGCAGCTGATTTTTACTTCGGTCTAGTGGAAGAGCAGGTACAACTTGTTACTCGAAGTGACTCGTTTCGCAGCCTATCAAGGCAGACCAGTAGAAATGGCGTAAAATGGAAAGTGACGTAATTTTAAATCTCCCTTGGATGCTGTCACGCGAGCAAGCGAAGATGATAGCTGATTCTCGCACCTGTCATCACCTTTGCCAAGGAAACGCATTGATGCGACGGACATGCAAGCCCGAGGGTCGAATAATGATCATGACCTTTCCCCTAAGATACATCAATACTCCCAAGGCCCGTTCTGCAGCGCGATAAGATGGTTTTAAAAGAAAATAGAGAAATAGTAAATCCTATCATCTTCTGAATATAATTGCTTATAGAAAATTACTTTATTATTATGAGAAATATTATAAATATAAATATTATTAATTTAGAAAATTATTTTATTATGACTATATTTTTTTAATAAAAGAAACTTTTTAAAATGACAGTGATATATTTGCTGCTATCTACAAATTTTTAACGAAAAAATCTTCCAAGAATATTTATTTTAATGCGAAATGTACTTTCTTGTACAGAGCTCACTAAATTAATCGTAGAAATATTTTTAAATATTTGAAATATTTTTCGTAGAAGTAAAAAATAAGGAGCGACGCAATTAGATATCTTCATTTCAAGCGTCTTTGGGATTATACTGCGAGGAAAATATGCGACTAAGATTCTTAACTTATAGTAATATAAATAGCGAATCGTATTTCATATTAATTCCTTGGCGTACCGGCGTTATTATCTGAATTATGTTCTTCACGATAACGCATTTACACGGGAACATTCCTGTTCGAATCCGCGAACAAGCACAGACAGATCTCGCATCTGCGGCTATAAAATATAGAATTACCATTTACTTAGCTTAGTCATCTATAGAGAAGATATTAACATATTTTTTTTTTCATGGGAAGTGCCTTATCGAGGTGCGATTTATATCCAAATTACGCGACACGCGTGCCTGTTTGTGACACCTTATTTGCTTTCGCGGCTTAATTAAATTACCCTATACAAGACAAGATTGATAAACGATATGTATATGTGCATATATCAAGATATGAGAAATACAAAATAACGAACTTTTACAAAATCATAATGTTTCTCACAATAACAAAGATGGGAGAAAAAACGTGTTTCAGTAACGGAGAAAAAAAAACATAAAAATCTAAATGTCAAAGTACCGTATCACACGCGACAAAGGTGCGTCGTGAAAAACAGATTATTGTCGTATTACGAAATGGAAAAACGGAACTGCCGCGTCGCTATGGAATCGATGTAGTGACATGCTTATAAGAGATTTCAGGAGATGAAGTCCAGCGAGAAAAAAGCGATACACTTAACGGTAGCTCGTCGAGTAGGTACGCTCGTTAATCTGAGCTTTAACAGTCTGGACCGAGGTGAGTAAGGATTCATTTAATGTCAACGCCTTAACGTCGTCTATACCGTCCGTCGTTGCAGTTGTCGTATTTCAGAGGATGCTCCTGGTTCATTATTGCAAGACGATTCTATCAAGACGCCTGCTTCATCATTGCGAGAAGAAAAGGAAACCTGTCATCTGTCCGATGCCGTCCGTGTTGTCATTTTTTACAAGTCAGAGTTTCATTAATGGATGTTCGCGATAAAAATATCTTTTCTATATATTCAAAAGGCGTGTAAAATTTTATATATGCGTTACGGTAATTTTGAAATAAATTGCTAGGTCATATAATACATTAATTAAACATAGTAGGATATAGAAGTCAAAAATAGCCCGTGCAAAGTAAGTTCACTATATGAGATAGCTGTCAATAATTTATCGGATTTTATTGTGTAGACATATTTCGATCATGACCTTCAATTTTTAAAATGTATTGATCGGTTGCACAATCGAGAAAAATCTAAGGTTTTAGATTTCGGGCAATTTGTGCACTTAAACATTACAAAAGTGACTGCGTTATAATTTTCGCCATTATATAAATACGATGTAGAATGAGCACACAAAATTTACTATACATGTGTTTTCAATCTTTACAAAATATCATTCTATTAGATATATCCAAAGTATAAAATTATTACAAAAAAAGCATCCCTCATAAAAACAAATAAGATCTACTTATATGTATATCGTTTGATGTAATTTTATACGGTGCGTGTAAAACACGCGATCGATTGCGCGAAACCTATCATCATATTATCGGCGTGTAATAAAGGTAGAGAAATGCGATAAGTTGCGCTCGTTTGACCCCGACTGCCGAAAATAAAGGAGATTTCGACTTTTTGTTTCGATATTAACGGAACGGCGTTCCTGAATCGATGCTAACCCCGAGGGGCCTCTCCGTAGCATTAGCCACAGGGTAGGGGACTATACATATAAAGGAGAGAGCCCCGTACTCCGGGGGCCCAGTACCGTTCAAAGATGCAGGCTGCCGGGACGCTGTGTGGTACCAGGACCATCTCCCTTCTGGCACTCCTGGTACCTCTCATTGGCTATGCCTGTGAGTAAAAACGACGTTCAAAATTCCCGCCCGGACGAGCATTGATATGTGACACGATAATATGCAATCGCATTGTGGAGGATCAGTGTTGTGCAGTGATCGCAATTCGGGATTGTTGCTAGTGCGCGACTTTGAAGATTTTAAGAAACGTCGCGAATAATAAATTTTAAGAGCATGATAAATTTGTAAAACACTCCACGAGTTACGCATATTTTCTTAAATTACAAAATAAGCTAAAAAAGACTTTTAAATTCAAGTATACAATTTTTTTTAATTATGTGCAAGTGAAAATTGAAGTATTTGTAAAGTAATGAATTAAACTTCGACGAAACAAGCAAAATTTTAAGTTTTCTTTAATTATTCTTCAGTGAATTTTATTTAAATGTTTGAATATATGAGTTTATTTATTCAAATAAATAAATATTAGAATTTAAGTAATTAAATATTAAAATGCAGGAAAATATAATAAAAATTTTAATTCCATAAAAGACTTCATAAAAAATAAATAGTTTTTAAAATGACACGTATGTCATATCGTTAGAATTTGTAATTAAAAGTTGTTGAAGTTAATAAAAAAAATAAAAACAAATTTTCAAAGATATAAAAAAAAATATTTTTATTAAGTTCAAATAATTTCGTATTAAAATAAACGCAACCGCATGAGGAATTATGCAAACCGAAAATTCAAAAGTTGCATATATAATTTTTACTCCTACAACTCTTAAATAAAAAAAATGAAATAATACCACAATAGAGATAAAAGCTGGTTAGCTAAATCAGTCAAATGATTACAACTTACGATTCGCAGATGGTGGGATTTAACTGAGCGCTTAGTCTAGCTAATCCCTATGCACGCGATTAAATATCCGCATTGCTATCATAGCCAATAAGCTTGCCTTGCCAAGTGAGCATTTCCACCGCAATCATCCGCATTAAGCATACACCGTTTCTCACCGCCTAGTTTCAACTAGCGTATTCGACTTCTTTTAGATTCAAGTCCCATTCAATATTTGCCCAGCATCCCGGGATACATACCTGTTTATATAAGATACGGAGATGAGCCGTTGGAGGGAATAAATCCCGAGTTGGCCGAAGCTTTCGGGGAGACATCAAATTCGGTTAAGGTATCAATATTCTGATAATTAAGATCGATAATTACGCCTTTAAATGAGAAAAACATCTACGAGAAGTTGTTGCTAGTTACAACGGCGAAAAAAAAGATGTCGGTTGATCTTTAGAGTAAATCATAAGTGCCACGTAAATTGAGATATATATGTAGTTCACAAGGATATTAATCTCATACCATGATAGAGTTTGCAGAAGATAGACCACACGCTCGCTCACGAATCTGACAATTTCAAAGATGACGACATAAATACTTTTATGGAAGAATCGAACAGGGAGCATGTTTATCCGTTGCACGTTCGAGAAGCGGAAAGTCGTTCGTTCGCCGCTGTCAACGACAACGAGCCAGGGAACCCTAATAAACCAAAGCTTTTGACCATTTATACATTACCTGACGATAACAAAAACGGGCCACGTAGACGGTCACATTATCGAGGGCCACGTAGACGTTATCGAGAAAGATCTAGGATAAAAAATTCTGGAAAACAACCCACGTTTAAGGTATAGATATAAAAATAGCCAATAATTAATTATAATCACAAAACTAATTAGTTATACGTTTTGACAAATAAAAGTTTTCAAAAAAAATTTTGCAAAAAAATTTCAGAAAACGAATAATTTGTATTAATTTCGGAGGATTTTTAGAATAATGTGTGCAGAATATAATGTTTATAGCGGATAAAATCTCATCAATGACTCAATGAGCATTTATCATCCTATAATACTTTTATCATTAAAAATAAAGATTGCTTCATGTTAATTGTATCCGCGGTAAACAGCGCATTTCATTCCAAGAAAAGGAATTACTAATTTGAATATAACGCATTTTCGATTTCTGCACATCTATCTTGTTTGACGTCCGCTTATAATCTAAAAGAAAAATCTCTTTGAGTTGCCTGATGTTGTTTGTCGCTTCATTGACACGCAGCGACGCATTTAAAGATCCTATCTACGCATGATTGAGCTTTATAAGCCGGTATGTGATGGTATTGTGTAAACGGGTAAACATCTTTAACTTATTTTTAACATAGCAACTATAAAACGTAGCCATTTATGTCTAAGTCGATTGTTTCATTTATTCGCAACTCAAATTTTTAAATAAGTTATAAAACATAATGCCAGTTTAAGAGAGAGAAAAATACATGTTACGAGAAGATTTTTCTTCGTTTAACAAATATTATAACACATAATCTTTTATTTATTATGAATAATCTCTTTATATAATTTAAAATAACTAATATATAAAGCTCAATGCACGTAAATAGAATGCGCGTAAATCTTTAGATGCTTCAACTACTAGATGCCGCATGTCGATGAAGCAAGATATATTCGACAAAAAACTATGTACACATTGTTATTTCTTGTGCTACATAAAATAAAAAATTTATGTAAAATATTCTAAATAGGTCAATCCACTCTCCGACGAAGAAAAAGAAGAACTGGAAAAACTGGCGATCGAGGTAGAGAAAGAGGAGACCAAACCGAATGAACTCTACGCTCCAAATCCCAGGTATCCTGAATCACCGTCTGAGAATACACACAGTCGACATAGAACGCACAATTTTATCGCGCCGATAAAAGTGCAAGTTCCGCTCGACGAAACCCTGACAGACCTGCCGAAAATTCCTCAAATCAGCGATTTTTCGCAATCGGATCATGATATCGCTACATTTGAAGCGGAGGAAGCGGAACTGCCAATTAAAGGACAAGGTCCAGCTACATTTTTGTCTAATGTAGATAAATTGTCGCCTATCGACTTGCCAAACGAAAATGAAGCTAATAAAAATTCTATATCCGAAACTGAAAAAGTTAAAGAGAGACCACTTATGAAGATAGATCTGCTAGAAATACCACAAGATACGGATTTTTCGAAATCTTCGGACGAACACAATATCGCTGCAGCTGAAGCTGATAAAAATGGATCGCCCATTAAAATACAACGTCCAACAACATTTTTGTCAAATGTAGATAAACTCTCGCCCATCGCTTTGCCAAACGAAACCAAAACCAATGAAAAAAAAGAAATAAAAGACTTTATACAGCATGCCGACGAAGTTGCAACGGATTAGAGGATTAGATAATCAAAGCTTTTCAAGTAAAAATTTTTTATAACTTATTTGTTGCAATAATACTGGATGTTTCAAATAATATTTTTCTTCAATCATAAATTCTTCGAAGAAATCTCGAGGTAAAATTTTTCTTGATGAACAATTCACGATAAGACATTTGTCGCAATGTTTTCACATTTATCCCGACGCTAATTATTATAGAGTAATTGAAATTATTTTTCTAAAAGTTATTTTGCGGCGTTAATTAAACTTATTATAAAATTCGTCATAATTCAAAGTATTTATAGTCGAAAAAAAGTTATATTACGATAAGTTTCAAGCACAAACCACTTGCGTAAAAAAAATATATTTCTATGATTCTAATTTATATTATTGATGATGAGACAATCTGTTTATGCTATTAGAAATAATACTTTATTACACTATGGACGTTACAGTCTTTTAAGTAACTGTTATTGCTCTCAAGTTTGTAAAGTTTGTTTGCACATTGTAAATTATGTTAATGATAAAACCACCGTGTAAAGTTATTTTAGAATATTTCTAATAAAATCGCTGTCGCAGAATTATTCACAATAGTGAATACACAAATTTATATATTGACTTTTCTTTTTACATTATATTTCACCTATCATTTACATAAATGTATAATTAAATGTTATTCGCGTAAATAAATAATATTGCAGATAATATTAATTAAAACCAGGAAATCATCGAAAAATTAGCACATTATAATTGAATTTTATTTGAGCATACAATCTATTTCAATAATTAATTATTAATTATATCGCTAGTGATTTTTAATCGTATAAGATAGGTGAGTATGCTCACTCAATATTTTTGTCGTCAGCTATCTGTTATTCGTATAAAATAACACTTTATTGATTACATATATTCTCGTGCCCGGGTTTTAAGATAGCTGGAATTAAGATAGCTGGAATAACGTTGAATCGATTATTCGTGAAAGTTATGGCATGGTTGTTTAGTTTACGAAGCGTCACATCGTCGATGTTGACGCACAAGCTATTCCTACGATCTTGGAAAAATCTCTTACTCGAGAGAATGTTTTGCTTCTATGTAGATGTGCATGCATACAAAGGAACGTTCTCATTTATCTTCAGTATATAAACATCTCGTATAATTCGACAGTAAAAATTTTCTTGTCCGATTCCATCGTTTGATGAATTGTCGGAAATGCCATTGGACAATAGTTTCATAAATACGCGAACTGTCGGCATTGTAAACATATGTGATTAAATCTCGTCGGATTGAAGCGGGATCTTCTTCAAATAATCGAATTTTAGCAATCTTCAACAAAGCAGCAATCAAATAATTCGTTCCTCTAGGAGACATTTACTTTATATTCTTCATGTCGATGGCACTTTGTCTCAAAAGGGATGGAATTTTCTGAGCTTCTATTAACGCTCCAAAAATCATCGAATATAATGAATCAGATGTTCCGTTTAGACGATTAAAACATCCTTCACGTCAATATCAACCCATTGTTTATTTCCCGTATTGGTATTACTCACCGGTATAACCCATCGCTACCTATCAGAGTGAAATCTGCCAACAGCAGGAAAATCGTTAACCGGCATATTGACATTGTTCTACAAAGCTAACGGGATTTTCTTTCAGTGCGGCACGTGTGAATTAGTCCTTGCTAGAAAGTGGCGCGAACAGGCACGCGTTTGTGACAATTGCGACTATGTCGCAGGTCGCAGAAGATACTGACGGAAAAAATTAAGCTCGCGTGAACGCACGAATGAATGAGGTTGCTGGAGAACGACAAATTGGACTGTTATGTTCCACGCCTTAACTCCTTGTGCACTGACCCTATCTCCTCTCCGAACGTCGCTTCCCATGAAATTTTTTTTGTTTGACCAGGTACCAGAGCGTATATTCGAGAAATCGCATCGAATTTCTCGTATCAAACTCAAGTAAAGCAAAGTTCAATTTACTTGAATTTACTTGAATAACTCCTGATTACAATCGCGATAATTATCCATTATTAAAAAGAAAAAATTATTCGGTAATTTTGGAAAAATTGAGAATAAGTTAAAAAAGCACGGAATATTAATTAACTGAAAATACATATATATTAGTTAGTTTTTTATTATTGACGAGTTCACTTTAAAGAGGTATACAGTTTAAATTATCATGCAAAGTTGTTTATAGAATTTAAAACTGTTACAATTTTCATCATAAAATTTGTAATTGTGTTTATTCTTTACTTTTTATAGTAATTAATTTTTTTCTGACTTTTTGTACATTATAAACAAAATTTTATATACTGTATGAAAAATAGCCGTACATATAGGCGTTAGTTTCTGCATGAAATGCCCGGTCAATAATGTGTTAATATATAATATTTTATTTATTAATATATACGTAAAAATAAATAGCTGTAAATTAAAGTAAAATATAAGATTCTGACTGCAACATTAGCTTTTATCTCTATACTTTTCTATAAATATGTAAGTACTTCTGTGAATATACAAATAATTTATATATAAAATATTTCTTCTGATTGGTAACGAACTCGATTAGACATTCTAGACACGATCAGGTGAAAGATATTCCGCCAACGATAACAATTAAGAGAGAAAAAGAAAGAGAGAGAGAGAGATTTAACATATAAAACTACGCTTTATAAAATGCTACAAATAATATTTGAATGTTAATTGGAAGTTAATTGGACAGAACAGATTCTGCAGAACAGATACAGAAATACAATTTTATCAGTAGCGGGTAGTGTTGCACATATTTTGCGTCGATAAAATATCGACATTTTATCATTTATATATATAAATATATAAGACGTCTTATCAGTTTACATCGCATTGTCGAAACATTGTTTGTTGCTTGCACAGGGAAAAAGGAGAAAGTGCATAAAGATGCAATGATAAAAACAACTGTATTGCCTGCGTAGCGCGAATGCGCTTTGACAACGATGTATTCAATAATTCTCTCACGTGACGAAAGGAGACGCGTTTGCACGCGTTTGTTTGACGGCTTCTTGCACGCGTGTATCGAAGAAAAAGATCTCCACATGATTCTCTTATAAACAACGTGATATCGCTTGACAAATTAATAATATAACTAATCAGGTAACCCAACTATATTAGAACTTCAAGAAAATCACGACATTATTGACAATTGATTAGACAATGTGACAGGTTTTCTCCTGTTTTTCACAAAAAAAAAACTTTGAATCATGTGTATGTAAAATTAATTGCAAATTTTCCTTAACAGAAATAATGTTTTTAAATAAAAATTACGTTCTGCGGGCACGTGCAACGTGGTTAACCTCAAAATGACGATTGATTGGTAATGTTGGTGATTGGTAATGTTGATTTCTGTTCTAGTGGATGTACAGTTTAGCGGATATAGCGTATGTTAATCAATTGACAAGTATTATTTCAAAATAAAACGGTAAATAAGATGGCTGGGCAACAACATCCTTTCCTACCTGGGTTTCCCAATGTGCAGCAATCGCCTATGCGCACACAGTTTGGTGGCGGACAAATGGTTTCTGGTTTGATGGGACCACAACAAGGGAGTGAGTATTTAAAAATGTCTTCCTATTTATGTTTTTATTTGTATGTTAATATGTGTATAATTATGTGTACACTAAACACACTCAGTACTGTGTATCATTAGTAAATAGTATAAAAATGAATATTATCCATTTACATCTATGTTCATCTTCGATTGACAATATTGTCTGTTTCAACGTTATGTAAAAAATTAGAGTTTAATTGGAATATTGTGGCTTTATCTTCAAATTTGTGATCATATGCACTTTGATTATTTCAATTTCTCACACTTGTAGTAATCATATAAATTTTAATTTTTCACAAGCCTAAGGTGTAAACTTTAATTTTTCACACTTCTAGGCTAAACATTTTAATTTCTCACACTTCTAGCCTGCGAATTTCAATGTCTGAGTAATCTAAAATTTTTAAGTAATTTTCAAGTAATTCGAGGAATTGAAGTGATTCAGATTCTTCAAGCGGGTATTAAGTAGGTATATGTATCAGCTTTCATTAGACATAGTAGAAGTAACAAGCTATTTTTCGATGGAGCGGTATTTGCGAGCAACAGATTCTAACGTTTATAAAATATCTCGACAATAAATTTTGACAATCAATTCCAAACTAGAAATTAAGGAATCTGGTACTAATTATTATTTCAGATATGGTAAGCTCTCAACAATTTGGCATGGGAGTTGGGGTTGGAGTAGGTGTCGGTAATGTTGGATCTAATGCCATGGGAATGCCCAATTCCCAACAAGTCTTGGCGCAACAGCAACAACAGCAACAGTCCATGGCGATGCAACAACAAATGCAGCAGATACAGCAGCAACAATTACAATTGCAGCAGCAACAACAGGCTGCAATGGTTCAACAGAATAATCAAACCAATAATCAGGCCACGACGCCGCAGACTCCAGTACCACCCACACAGCCACCGCCGCGACAACCGCAGGCTAAGGATATTAACACCGTTAGTTTATGTAAATATGGACAAGAGACTGTACAAGAAATAGTCAATCGTACCCAAGAGCTCTTCGCAACTCTCAAGGTCCTTCAACCACCCAATGGTATTTATTTTTCTAATTCAATAATTAGAATGTCACCCTAAATATATTTTATGTATATGCATTATTTATATATGAATATAGGTACCGCACAAGGGGCAAACATGGCGAACGAGAAGAAGAAGAAAGTCTACGAACAATTGGATATGATCAAAATAATGTTCAAACGCCTGAGACTGATATATGAAAAATGTAATGAGAACTGTCAGGGAATGGAGTATACGCATATAGAAAGTTTAATTCCGTTGAAGGAGGAATGGGATATGAAATCCGACGAGAAGAAAACCTCAGAATCTTACAGACTCAGCTGCGAGGAGAGGAAGGAAATTATGGAGGTGAGGCGAATGAAATTTATATACATTAATGCATAATTCCTATATTAATTTTCAATTAAAAAAATGGAATCTGTTTCTCTTTCAGCAAGTGGTATTAAAGAATAGGCACATTAAGGAAATAATCGATCACTTAAGGCGCATTATTTCAGAAATAAACACAATGTTAAATATGCGTCGATCTTAGGTTACCAAATATAGATAATTATGTTTTTGTAATATTATGTTTATGTATTTTTATAATAATATATATATTGTAGTTAAATATTTATATTATTACAAAAATACATTAATAAAGAAACTTTTTTTGGAACATGGTTGGCACTGCAATATTCGTTTGCTTCTCACACATTTCTCTGTTTTTCACTGTTCAATATTAATGTTGTCTATGTCTAAACAAATTATGTCACTGCTTCGGAGGACGGCTTCCGGTATCGTTCCCATTGGTGTCTCCAAGTTCTTTACAAAAACCTTAGAACATTCCACGTCGCAACCCTTGAATTCGCCAGATACGCGTGTGTTTTCGAGTAAGTGAACTTCTGTTGGTTTACCTATAATATTTGAATATCAGTTGGTCACGACAAATGCTAAATAATTATTTATATCCACATGAATGAGTGTTAACGATTTCTTTTTTTAATAATACCTCGTGACAAATATTTCCTGCACAAGTAGCAGTAGTTTGAATGTTATCGTGAAGCGTTGTGCAAAATTAAATAAACTTTTGCTTCGATTTGCGCAATATAGTAACTTTAAGAGAGAGAGATATTAAAATGACTTTAATATCTCATTCATTTTACCGCGGGAATCGATCTAGTTAAATTCTTTTGAACTTGATTGAAACAAAGTTATGATTAAACGCGAACTTTCTTACCGATAATGCCGGTAACGACACGCAGAAAACGTTCGCGCAGAAACGCACGGGCCTTTTGTTTCTCCGCAGATGCGAATGGCAAATCGGGTTTATTTGCACTCGAATTAATTTCGTCTTGGTCTGTCATCTTCTGTCCAAGAAACGTTCCGTTCCGTCTCGAGATGTCTCGACATTGACACTATGGCTGCCGTTCCTTTTGACGCTTTCAGCGCTGAAAGCATCGCTCCATCTCTGTTTGATATTCGATATGTAACGAAGACAGTATGATGCTTTAAAAGCGTCAAAAGGAACGTGTAGCCTAGAGATTGCATATTCATGGCGGACTCAACATGAAGATCGTGCGCGCGTCGAAGAGAACATTGGCGCTCTATTTGAATTCTCATAAAGCATTATCAGTCGATATTCATAACGATGTGACACCAGATAGACTATTCGACACTAAATGAAAGTGTTTGTTTAACACAAGTCCGCTGTTACGTCAGTACTATAACATTAGAAACATTAAAGAAAGTGAAAGTTCAAACGAATGATGAATCACAATATATGTAAAATGCACGATGTGGGCCTATTGAAAGTAAGTAACTGTAAAAATAACCGTAAAGGAATTCTCAATATATTATATCACTGATGCGAAAATGTAATTCAATTAATTATGTTAAAAAATTAGATAGATTTGTTTCTGCAAAGAAAATTTAAAAATGTTTATAAATTAGATAGCTTGTACAATTTGTTTCTATGAAAAATTTTAGGTAGAATGTAGTTATAAAGAAAAAATAAAATATAAAATTACTTAACGTATTAAATTTCTTTAGATAATATATTATCGTTTTAACTTATATAATTTAAAAAAAAACGGCTGTTTCAATTTTAACAAAGCATTTGCATACTTAGATACACGTAAGATCTCTCCCAATATGAAAGTTTTTGAAAGCAATCGAATACACAGTGAAATAATCTCGGGCATCCTGCATCGATAGCCCACATTTTCTATACGAGGCTAATTGCCACAGTTAAAGAGGAAGCTTAGATCGACACAATTATCATACTTATAACGATATCTACCAAACACACTTTCTCGCAGCCAAACATGTGGGCAACCCGCAGCTTTTTAATTTCTTCGGAGAAGACACGAGTTGTCACCTCATTTTCGTTCCGATCACGACGCGGTAACGATGGGTTCCCTCATCATTGTTTTAACAGCCTTCGCCGTATATTATAGTGGTAAACAACTATTCGACATTCGATATTCGAACGATATTTCGACGTTGGTTCTGTGGCCACGTCGTCCGATTCATCCTCCCGATTCCAACGATTCTTTTTGTTACAGAGGTGTATTGTGATACAC